TCTCTTGTGATCCTTTGTATTTCTGTTGTAACTTCTCCTGTTTCATGTGTAATTTTATTTATTTTAGCCCTCTCCCTTTTTTTCTTGATGTGTCTGGCTAAAGGTTTATCAATTTGGTTTATCCTTTCAAAAAACCAGCTTTTAGTTTTATTGATATTTTCTATTTTTTCTTTGTCTCTATTTCATTTATTTCTGCTCTGATATTTATTATTTCAGTGTACTATCTTTGGGTTTTGTTTTTTCTTCTTTCTCTAGTTGCTTTAGGCCTAAGGTTAGGTTGTTTATTTGAGATTTTTCTTGTTTTCTGAGGTAGGATTGTATTGCTATACACTTCCCTCTTAGAACTGCTTTTTCTGTATCCCATAGATTTGGGATGGTCATGATTTTGTTTTCATTTGTCTCTAGGTATTTTTAAATTTCCTCTTGTTTCGTCAGTGACCCATTGGTTGTTTAGTAGCACATTGTTTAGCCTCCACATATTTGTGTTTTTACAGTTTTTTTCTTCTAGCTGATTCTAATCTCATAGTGTTGTGGTCAGAAAAGCTGCTTGATATGATTTCAGTTTGCTTAAATTGACTGAGCCTTGCTTTGTGGCCTAGCATGTGATCAGTGCTGGAGAATGTTCCATGTGCACTGGAAAAGAATGTGTATTCTGTGGCTTTTGGATGGAATGCTCTGAAAATATCATTTAAGTCCATCTGGTCTAATTTGTCATTTAAGGCTTGTGTTTCCTTATTGATCTTCTGTCTGGATGATCTGTCTGTTGATGAAAGTGGGGTGTTAAATCCCCCTACTATTATTGTGTTACTGTCAATTTCTCCCTTTATGGATGTTAGTATCTTCTTTATATATTGAGGTGCTCCTATGTTGGGTGCATATACATTTACAATTGTTATATCTTCTTCTTTCATTGATCCCTTGATCATTATGTAGTGTCCTTCTTTGTCTCGTAACAGTCTTTATTTTAAAATCTAGGGACTTCCTTGGTGGCGCCCTGGTTAAGAATCCACCTGCCAATGCAGGGCACACAGGTTCGAGCCCTGGTCTGGGAAGATCCCACATGCCGCGGAGCAACTAAGCCCATGCGCCACAACTACTGAGCCTGCGCTCTAGAACCTGCAAGCCATGACTACTGAGCCCGTGTGCCACCACTACTGAAGCCCGCATGCCTAGAGCCCACGCTCCACAACAAGAGAAGCCACTGCGATGAGAAGCCCGCGCACCGCAACGAAGAGTAGCCCCCGCTCGCCGCAACTAGAGAAAGCCCACGTGCAGCAATGAAGACCAGTGCAGCCAAAGATAAATAAATAGAAGTAAATAAATCTATCTAAAAAAAAAAAAAAAAAAACTATAGACCAGCATGAGGAGCAGAGTCGTTACCTTACATTAGAGAGAATGCATGACAATAAGGCATCGTCCATCCAAGGCAGTATTGTTTTTGGCCACCTCAGTGGATGAGGTTGTGGCACAGGGTGCAAACACAGATGAACCTTTATTTATTATTTATATTTTTGGCTGCGTTGGGTGTTCATTGCTGCACGCGTGGGCTTTCTCTAGTTATGGTGAGCGGGGTCTACTCTTGGTTGTGGTGCGTGGGCTTCTCATTGCAGTGGCTTCTCTTGTTGCAGAGCAGGGCACGTGCTCTAGGCACGACGGCTTCACAGGCCTCTAGAGCGCAGGCTCAGTAGTTGTGGTACACGGGCTTAGTTGCTCCACGGCATGTGGGATCTTCCCAGACCAGGGCTCAAACCTGTGTCTCCTGCATTGGCAGGCAGATTCTTAACCACTGCGCCACCAGGGAAGTCCCGATGAACCTTTAAAATGTTACATTAAGTGGGAGAAGAACCAGACACAAAGACCAACTATTGTATTCTTCTATTTATATGAATTGTTCAGAGCAGGCAGATCCACAGAGACAAAGATTAGTGGTTGCCTCAGGATGAGGGTTTGAGCAGGTGATGGAACCATTATGGGGTTCCTTTTGGGATGAAAATGTTCTGAAGTTGATTGAAGTAATGGGTGCACAACTCTGTGAATATACTAAAAAACCATTGAATGGGTGAATTGTATGGTATGTTGATTATGCCTCAGTAAAGCTGTTGGAATAAAACCGAAAAGAAAATACTGCCTCAAAGAGGCACACGGTCTTCATCCTGAACCGTTGCAGTCTTTTTCTCACCTCGGAGCTATGAATGGCTCATTACTAGTAAAGAATGAATGTCGCATTTATTTGGGGTTGGGGTTGGGGGGGCGTGTGAAATTTGAAAAGCCTCTGAGAGATTGTGATTATCCCCTTCCCTTTGGAAATCACCTGGGGGTACCTACCTCCTAGAAGCTAGGACACTTAGAGCCAGGTGCACTCAAATACAGTTTAAGAAAGATTGCTCAGGTGTTTTGTCTTTACTTCCTGTCCCAAAGGGGTGTGTGAATCTGGTGGTCCTGAAACATGACAGGAAACTCCAGTCCCTTCTGGTCTGAAGGGCGTTTTTTTAAGCAGGTACCTCCCCACCGGCCCACCAGGCCCTGGTTCTGTTGGCGCTGCGTCCCTTTGTGTCAGTTTTGGCCTATTCTAACCCGGGTGATAGAGGGCAAGAACTGTGTCGTGGGAGGGCCAGAGTCAGAGAGAAGGTGTGGAGACAGTCTGCCTGAGGCTTCTCATACGCCTGGGCAGTCGTGCGGTGACAAGGAGTGGAAATCACTAGTCAGTCCGTGGGTCCTGCGCAGGAGCCAGCTGCTGCTTCTGCCACTGTAGGTTAGTTCTCCCCTGTTCTTGGACGGCATATGAATGGAACCGTCTGGCATGTCAGTTTTTCTCTGACTTCTCTTATTCATCGTACTGTCTTTGAGATTCGCCCTCGTTGTAGCCCGTGTCATGACGTCATTCTGTTACCGCTGAGTAGTGTTTCCTGCGTTGTGTGAGTATATTCCACAGCTTGATCCCCCATCCTTCTGTTGGTGGATATTTGGGTCGTTTCCCATTTTAGGCTACTGTGAGGAAGGCTGCTTTGAGCAGAGTCATGTCTAAGTCTTTTTGCGGGTATGTATTTTTATTTCTCTCGGGTAAATAAATACCTCGAGTCGTGGAACTGGCAGCTCGTAGGGCAGACTGTGCTTCGCTCTGTTAGAAGCTGCCCAGGAGCCGTGCAGAGTGGTTGAGCCACTCCTGTAACCCCAGCAGAAACGTACGAGCTCCTGTTGTTGCACTCGTGGCCGTCACTGGGTATGGTCGGTCTTTTTGATTCGTTGCAGGGTTTGAACAGAGGTGTTTCATACTCTGATTTAGATGTGGAAAAGAAAGAGACTCAGTCTGCGGTGTGGAGATGAGTGTGGGGAGAGGGCGGTGGGGGGTTAGCCCGGCAAGAGCTCAGGGTGGCTTGCCCAGTGAGTTGATGGAAGCGGGCAGATGTGGTTGGCATCTAGGCGTATTTTGAAGAAAAGGGTCAGCAGGATTTGCTGAAGGACAGACCATGGGATCAGAGAGAAGAGGTAAGGGTGCCCACCGGGGTTGCTGGTGGGGCTGCCGTTTCCTGAGACTGGGCACATCACAGGGACAGTGTGGGCCAGGGTGGGAGCCGGGAGGGGGTTTGAACATGCGACGCTGGAGGTGCCTGTTAGACATCCGAGTGGCAATATTGTGGGTAGTGGGGCATCTGAGTCAGGAGGTCAGGGGAGCGGCTGAGCTGGGATTCTAGGTGTGGAAGGCGTCCTGAGAGCATAGGTGGCGTTTAAATGAAGTGGGATGAGAACACGTGGGATATGGGTATAGGCGGTGGAGAAGGGGTGAGGGAAGGAGCTCTGTCCTCCAGTGTGTTGAGGTCAGGAAGGCCTGGGGGAGCCGGGGAGATGAGAGGAGCACTCGGGGAGAGCGGTATCCCAGAAGCCAAGTGAGAAACACACCCCAAGGATTGGCCCTTGTCAGACGTGACAAGGCCTGAGATGTGGCCGTTGGGTTTGGCTGAGGTGGTGGCGTCGGTGAGCCGTGTCAGAGGGTGGGGTAGTCGCCCACCCGAACAGTTAATGCCGATGCCAGGGAACTCTCGAAGTTTTGTTGTGAAGGGCATGAGAAATGGATTGGTAGCTGGGGAAGGATTTGGTGTCAGGGGAGGGTTTTCTTTTCAAGCTGGTAGATGTTGCATCGAGTTTGTTGGATGGCTCCGATGGCGAGGGCAAGAGGGATCACTCAGGAGTGGGGACAGATGCCGAAGCGGGGTTCCGTGCAGGTGAGAGAAGGTCCAGCGTGCCCCTTAGAAGGATGCGGTGGCGGTAGTGTGCGGAGCCCCGCAAGGTGTTGGGGAGAAAGCGTGGAGTGGGCGGGCAGGGTGGAAAGTGAGAGGGTGGCTGGAGCAGGGGAGTGTAAGGATTGCAGGGTAGCACCGAGGGCCCCTGGAGATGCGTGGCCAGTCATTTCAAACGAGGCCCCACTGCAGAGCTCTGTCTGTGTGTCCCTTCGCCATAGCGTGCAGTGGCGGGTTCAGGACTCGGGTTTTCTCAGGCCAGGAGGAAGGACAGAAGGGGAGAGGGGTGAGGCGTGTGGAGATTGTTCCTGTGGATGGAATTAGACTCAGCAGTTGGATTCCAGACGTGGGCCTTTCAGCCCTGTATTCGTTGTAAGTTGTCTTGCTGTCTGCTGAACAGGGTTTAATATAAAAGTAAATTTCTCCGGCCACTGGTTGCTGTCGTCACTGCTTTGCATCAAAGGCAGAATACTTCACTCTTTACCTAAGAAAAGACCTTCGGACTCTGACACACTGTTTCCAGTCATAGATTCTGCAGGCCCGGCAATAACAATAACCCCAATCTACCACCTTCTCTAAGAGAAGCGCTTGAGGAAGTCGGCCCAGTGATGTCTACTTAGTGATATGTTATTTCAAAAAGTGGGGTTTTTTCATGTATTTTTTAGTTGATTGACTAGGTAAGGTAGGTACTTGGTAAATTTGGAAGGTTTTAAAACTGTGTTTTGCTCATGGTCGTGGTAAAGTGCACACACTTCTGAATTTCAGAGAAGTTGGAGGAGGTTCGGGATCATGAACAGAAGGAAGAAACTTTTACCCCAATGCCCAGCCTTTACTACATGGAGCTCAGCAAACTCCTGTTAAATCAGTAAGTACCTCTCACTCCTTCGAGCCCACAGGCACGATGCAACCCCCAGTTCCCAGACCACCTCCTTTCGTGCTCCACGCTCATTACCGAGGGAAGTGGTAGCTTTGGCCCCCAGGTCCTCAGTCAGTAGTCTGGGAGTCGTTTGTGGGCGCGCACACACTGGCCGGGCTCTGTGTCTCCCTGTTTCCCTTTTCCCCTTTCTCCACCCTTCCCTCTCCTCCTGGTGAATCCCGCGGTTCTTTCCATTCTGCGTCCTACCCGTCACTTGATACTGGACTCTAGCATCAGCCCATCATCTCCAGCAGTAGCCTTTTTCTTAACTGCAAATGTTTTATTAGTCGAGCTGCACCCCTTTTCTCCTTTGGGCCTGTGCATCTGCGTTCTTGTATCTCTTGCACAGGAAAGGGCCAGGGGTCGCATTTTCCTTCGACCCTGGGCTAGAAGGCAGGTCCACTGGGGCAAAACTGTTTCCCCTCATCCAGTTCCGGCTCCCCATGGGCTTCCAATTCATTCTCCGCCTTGCAGCCAGAGCGGCCTTTCAAAGATACAGCTGCCTGTATCTGTCCCCTGCAGTCCCCTGCTCCTCGGAGCCTCTCTAGGGTCTGAAGTCCTGATCGTGGTATTCGAAGCACCATGTAGCCTGGTTCCCTTCTCCTGTCTCGCACCACCCTCTGCGGTCCTTCCCTCCGATTCTCTAGGGTCCAGGCTCACGTTGGCCTCCTTCACTTCTTCACACGTGCCCAGGTCCTCAGAGTGCACAGGCACATACGTGTGTGTGTGTGTGTGTGTGTGTGTGTGTGTGTGCGCGCGTGCGCGTGCGTACACCGTCCTTCTGCCCAGTAAGTCCACCTATTCCCTGCTCCCTCCTCGGGTTTAGCATAGCAGGTCCTCCCTCCCAGGTTACGTGTACCTGTCCTCGTGGCAGCTCTGCACCCCTCTGTAGCACTTGTCAGGTGTAATGCTCTAACTGCTGTGCCTGTGCTGTTCCCCACCCCCGCCCCCAGGTCTCATGGGCAGGGACTGTCTCGCCTGCCCCCGCACAGTGCCTGGTACTCACATGTTTGTGGAATGAATGAATGCATCAGTGCAGGGGGCAGGCAAGTGTGGCTACTTAGAATGTAATTTGCACAATGTCAAGCTTTTGAAGCCCTGAGCACCTTTTCATTGATGGATTCAAGAGCAGAACCAGAACCAAAGTTGGAAGCTCCCTACTGCCTCCCGAAGAGCAGCAGGGGCCGGGGGCCCACCTGTGGAATTCACGTGAAAATCTGCACAACATGGACTTGTCCTTGAGTTGACATGTGGCTGCAGTTGTGTAGTTCACAACATTCTCAGCATTCAACATGCTAAGCATCCCACCAGGTAGTGGAGATGGTCATGCAGGCTTGAGTTCCAGTTTTGTGGGGAAGAGATGCGACCCTGTTGACAGATGTGGTATAACCCTGCAGTGTGTGCTAATGCTGTTCAGAGTATGTCGGGGTGCAACCCTCATGCCTGGTGCTGCCAGAGAAGGGATCCCTGGCTTGGAGGCTGAGGGGAAATTTACCAGGGGAGAGGGCAGTGTAGGTAGAAGGACAAGTGAAAGGGCCTGGATTTGTGGAGCAGGGCTGTTGGGACCTGCATGGACTGAGTGAGGGCAGGGCGGTGGACGCGGCGTCCCCAGGAAGGTGTTTGGGCAGGCGGGCGTCATCCGGAGGATATGAGAGGGCTGCTGTCGTAGGGGAGTGTGACTGCAGAAGGGAGAATATGGGAGCAGAGCGGAGGCCGGTTCATCTTCAGTTTTTGAAGTTCAGTGCGTTACGTACGCAGTTCCTATCGGAACCCTTGTTTTATAATTCCTTAGAGCCATCCATTCAGTGAAGGGACCTCGGTTCTGCAGTGCAGTTCACGAGGAGCTGGGGTCCTTTGTTCTGTAACCTGCTGTTCAGAGCATAAGATCCAAATGTTTGGGTCTTAAATAGAATCTACTCTATCTACTCATCTTGGGCTCATTTCAGCCTGTGGAGAGAGCCTGGCCAGCTTATCCTCGGATGCCTGGTGACGAACGACGTTGGCTTTTGCTTTTGTCTTCTAGTTTGTCTGTTCCTTCAAAGGTTAGTTTAGTTTAAAAATGTGTCACACAGGAAGGCTCTCAGTGCGGCCCCGCTGACTCCAGTCAGTCAAACTGTTACCCAGAATTTGCTGTGTATAGGTGTGCTGTTTATGCTAATTTGCAGTTTGTTCTGTGACTTTTGCAAACGTGTCTCTGTTTTCTCTGTAGAGTGGGACAGTCCCTATCTTTCCGGGATTTTGTGAGGATAGAAATGCCTGGCACAGAGCCTTCGTCTTCTTTGCCTAGTGGGTTGTAGCCCTTGGATAACAGATGGGGTATTAGCATTAGAGGTCATGACCGCTGAGCCAGCCTTTGAAAGAAATTCGTTCTCGTTGGAGATTCTATAGCATGAACACTCAGTTATCCTGAGTCAGGAGGACCCACTCACAGCTGCTTCTCCAAGATCTAATTCTTCTTGGTGAATCACAGAAGTCCTTGTGCCACAGCTTGCACAGGGACAACTAACATGAGCACAAATAACTCGGTGAGGATCCTGGCTGAATTTTCTTGGCACCAAGCTTAACTGCTAGAAATCCTTACATTTTAAAAAACTGAAAAAGCGAAACAAATTTTGAGTCTAGACCAGCTTGTGCATTTTTGCCTAAATCCAAGCAGCATTTACACAGAAGCCACTCCTACCTGGAAGTTGCCTTAGTTTACTGAGTGCTTCCTTATGCGATTTATTTCACCTTTTGCTTCCTTTAGTGCTTCAGACAACATCCCAAAAGCAGATGAGATCCGGACCCTGATCAAGGACGTGTGGGACACTCGCACAGCCAAGCTCCGGGTGTCTGCTGACAGCTTCGTGAGACAGCAGGAGGCACACGCCAAGGTGGGCACGTGGTGGGCCGCCCACGGAGGCCGGATGCTCTGTGGGACAGCCCGCGGCGTCTTGTCTGCTTAGGGCATCGCGGGAAGGGATAACTAACCATGCGGGGCTTTCAGAAAATTATTACTCATTGTTGGTTCCTTATTTTTATCCAGTAGATTTAACCTTTTGTGAAATCAAAGACTCAACCAACCACTCTGTTTGCCCTTGTGTTTTAGCTGGACAACTTGACCTTGATGGAGATCAACACCAGTGGGGCTTTCCTCACACAAGCGCTCAATCACATGTACAAACTCCGCACGAACCTGCAACCTTCTGACAGCTCCCAGTCTCAGGACTTGTAGGCAGAGACTGGTTTGTAGAGGCCCGTGTCTGCCGGCAGGAGGCTCACCGGGTGGCCTGAGTGCTCGGGACGTGACAGAGGTACCCACATTTCCAGAGTTCTAGAACCACTTCTGAATGTATGCAACGAACTGCAGTGAAGCAAGGGATGGGTTCATAACCTTGTGGGCAAGCAACAGGCTTGTGCTTAGTCCTCGAGACATTCTGTAATTCCACGTCTGTGTCTGGGAGCCAGCTGTCCTTTCATGGGGAAATGAGAAAAAGCATTGGCAGAACGAATGATTTCCCTAGCAGAGCTCTGGGTCTCCTGCACGGGACTGTCGTGTGCAGGTGAGTGTTCGGTGACGTCCGGTGTTGCTTTTAAGATGGAGATGTAGCAGGATGGGAACGTGGCCGCGGCCAGTTTTCTCCCTTCTTGACCCTGATCTCTTGGGCTAAATTTAGAGTCTGCTACAGAGGCTCTTCGCACGGAGGGGAGCAGATGAGTGGCGAGTGGCAGCAACCCCGTATTTATCATCTGAGCCCCGATACACAATAAAGATGAAACCAACCCACAGCTCTGTTGGGTTTTTTTCCTGCGTAACTGCCACGCAAAGGAGCAGGCCAAGTGGCTAGAATGATGTGATGGACCAAACTTGAGAGGTTTAGCAGGCAACTGTCAACTTCCGACCGACACTCTGGGTACCTCTTGTGCTCTTGGCTGCTTCTGGGTAAGGCCCTAAAGCGTTGCTTATCAGCAAGAGGAAAGTCAGGGGAAAATCAATTCCGTGTTATCGAGTGTGTGAGTGAAGCTGAAGACACGATGCCAGGGGGAAAAGTGGGGCCTATTTATTAGTGGTTCTTGATGGACTGAGGGGAAGACAGTTCTAGGCAGCAGTGGCTCAGGTAACGGTATTGGTTTTTTTTCCCTAGGAGGAAAAGTTTAAGCGCTAGCATTGCTCAGTCCCTTACAGAAAAGTACGTTACCGCGGGGGAGTGGGGTGGGGGAAGATCGTCTTGTCATGTAATGCGTAGGTTCGGTAACCAGCTGGTTTCCAGTGGTAGCGCCGTCAGTCATCTCGAGGGTTATGAAGGGTATACGCGCGTGATCAACTGGGCCTAAAGAATATGTGCTGGTGTTTTTACCCTTCAGGGTCTAAAACACAAACCTACCTCAGGCTGCTCGAGCAGCTATTGTTCAAGCACCGAAGGGCCGCACGTGGAGGGCTGAGGACCCAGAAGACCTGGTCTTCATCACTTAAGAGATGACAGGACTTGTCTTTTCATCTCTCTCTTATGCAGAATCCTTCAGAGTTAATCTGGGGAATGTTCTAGAATGAAACCACATGTTACTGTGGCGGTTTAGGAGTCCTGTCTGTGGATCTCAGATTTCACCCTGAATCCCCTTCTCTTAAAACCTGGCCGAGGCACAGTCAAGTCTGTCTTCACACTTTACCTGTAAAGCTGTGTAACTGTTGAGCTCTCATTTTTAGTTTTTGGCCTTATTATAACATAGAAAAGAGGTTTCTCTTAAGATGATTTAGGAAGATTTTATTTTTTGGGTGTTGTCAGAAATTACAGCAATATATTCATAAATACCTAATTACTACATTCAACAAATAATATTACAATACAGTTAATTCAAACAAGTACACTTAGAACAGGTTTAATTTCACAGCATCTAAACTGCCCCCCAGAGTGACCGAGGCACCGTTCCTCCTCCTTCCATGTACTGGTTGACTGTTCTAGCAGTTAAGCGTAGCTACATACAGAGAGAGTAACACGACTGATTGATTAGCGTGGTCTTCCTCGGGTCAAGGTAGAGTTAAGGAGTTAAGGTTAAGCGCTGGATCAGAAAGTTGGGGACAGGCTACTGCAAGTAGTAAAGTTGATAGTGTGGCTACCTGGAAGAGGACAGGGCTGCTGCGAAGTGGCTAATCCACGCTGTACGATGAATAGCATCGCGGTGCTGACCATCTCCACCTGGTGGCAGGTCCCTGGAACTTGCTACACCTTAAGCCGTGGCCCAGAGGGAAAGGGGGGTATGCAATCTCATTTTGGAGATGCGACAGCATTGTGAGCTACTTGACGAAACACCATCCCACATACAAACGTAAGACTTGCTGTTAGAATACTTTAATGCTTCGCTACTTTGCTGAAGGTGTCGGCTCCTTTTAATATTCCTCGAGTTTCCCTGAAGGGTGTATGATCTACGAGCATGTTCATGCCAATTAAGTGTTTTGTTTCCTTTAGAATACAGACTACACTGTTGAAGAGCCTATCTTGGTCGCTTACTTATCTGAGATTACGGACTAAGATTATATTTCACATCAGTTTGGCTTGTTTCTACGTGTGGCGCCAAGTTTGGGGGAAAGCTCGGGGTTGTTGCTAATGATCTGATTAGATGCAGAACCACACGACTCACTTTTGGAAGGGATCCCATCCCGCACAGGTTTAGCGAAACCCCCTTCAGGTGCCGTGGGAAGACACAGGTCGTGAAGGACTGTTCACAAAAGTACTGACACAGAAGGTCCATGATCGGTTCTAGAGCAAATGTGGTGCGCTTCTGAACTTTGTCTTTCGAACTCAGTGTGAAACAGCTGAACAAAAAGCTTCAGGGATTCCATATTTCTCTGTCAGTTTTTAAGCCCAAACTGAAAAGAGGCTCTGATGCCTACCATGCTCTTTCAGAATAAGTGTTTTCAGATTATAAAACTAACTACTAAATGGAAGAGAAACACCCCCAAGTATTGGGTACTATGTCCCAGTGGTGCCAGAGCCTTAGTACCCAGTCTTTTGTTTTCAAAAGACACTTTGTTACCTTTTCCTTAGTTTATTCGTGTTGCCTTATGGGTCTGTATTTATATTCTGATTGTCCTATTACTTCTTGAGCCTTAGAATATTCAGAGAGACCCTCACAGGTCGGTGGGAGTATGGGGAAGCAGAGTGAGGGAGCAGCTCAGAGGCGGGGCAGGGGGAAGGCAGGCAGTTCTAGCTCGGTGACACAGCCGCACCCCGGGGCAGGCGTCCCTTTCCTTTAACCTGCGTGCCACATCCTCCTCCCCAAAAGCGAAAGAGCAGACACAGGCGCTCCGCTCAGGTGGTAACAGGATGGGGCTGTGCACGTTATCAGGTCTACTTATCCCTTTGCCTTTTGGCCAGGACCCCTACCAGAGCCGAGGAGCAAAGGCATCCGGACATTTCCTACTACGGAGTTAGGAGGACTGGCGGGAAGCGTTAAGATGTAATAACCCTTAGGCCTTCAGAGACAGCAAGCAGATTTTAGGTAGAGAAATTCAGTGACGTTTTGCCCTGATCATTGGCAGTGGGGCTCCCTCTAAACACCTGTCGCCACCTGTGGCACATGGCGCCCTGTGTCTTCGCAGGGGAGGAGGCCCCCGGAAGAGCCCTTGGTTCTCGTCAAGTCGTTTCTGTAGAGAGAAAAGCACTTGCTGACTGCTGATAATACTGGCGGCACTTTTTTGTCTGAGTTTGCTAATAACTGGAAGATTCTTGGCAGACGTGCAAAGCAAACTGTGTGGGAACAGATAAAGTGACACAGTGCCATCTGCCAGCAAGCTGTTCTGCGCAGCTAAGGTCTGGGGCCGAGGGCATGGCCACTGATCACAGTGAGTAGCCTTCCTGAAGGTCAGCCAGCCCTTCCCCTGGCCCAGGGCGTGATGCTCGGGGCCCCTCCCCTCCCCCGGGCAGACCAACCACTGGCTGCTTTGGCCTCTGGTTCAGGCCCATTTGGGCAAGAGATGCCTTCCTGATCTAGATTTCACCCTGCCTGAACCTGCCTCATCCCCGTTCCTAGCCGCTCCTGTGGTTGGCACAGTCAGTCAGTCCAAGAAGAGAAGTTCTGCGCAGACATTGTTCACCCTACTTTCAGGTTGGTACAAACAAAGCTTTGCATCTAAATAAATAAGCCCTATTCAGTTTCTACTTTGCACGTGCGCAGACGGCCGTAAGCCACCTCAGCATCCTGTCCCAGCAGCCGCTCCCTTCCTCAAAGGCTCTTAACGAAGCCCGTGTGCGCCTGCGCGCGTGAAGGTGCAGGTGCACACACAGCGTCCACCTGGCTCCCACTGGAGCCCGCCCCTCCTCGCTTCATAGCATGGGCTGCGGTGAACTGGCTGCAGTCCGGAGCAGGGGCGGGGCACAAGAGGAAGTCAGTCGTAACCATGGCTTTCTACATCATCACTCTGGTGCAACTCAAGAATGAAGTGATCGCATAGGCGCCAGTGGTAATAAGCTCTTTACTTTTCTTCTTCTTTAATTTTTTTTAAAAACACTTCAATATCTTAATGTCCTGACCAGCAGCAGTACAAACACTAAAAGCAAGGTTTTTTTCTTCTTTTTTTTTTTTTTGCCCAGAAAAACAAAACGAAAACAAAACCCCCAAACAGGAAAACAAACAACAAAAATCCCCCCAAACCACATATTAAAAATGGCAGGCTTTTTTATAACAATAATTAAAGTAATAAAAACATACAAAACTTTGTTTTTTTAATATATATACACAGTACAAGGCTGAAGCACCTTTGACTTTCCTCTCAAAAATTTACGTTTGTATGAAAACACCCCTACCGCAGTAACAATCTGGTGGGTGTGAATAAATGTGTACACAGAGCTCTGTACATTTCCCCCCGTGAAGTAATAAAAAGGTACCTTCAGTTAGTTGATTCGCTTTTTAGGTAAAGGTAAGAGCTTTTCTGGGGAAAAGCCTTGGGTAAGGCTTTCAGCACTGTTGCTTTGTGTGCTCCTAGGACCTGTTGCTTTGAAGAAAATTTTTGCAGAAAAAGTAACTGAAATAAAGCCCTTTACTTAAAAATGCACCCCACCTCCCTTCCACTGAAGGTAGGTCTCAGCCCCGGGGAGGACTGAGACCGGCCACCACCCCCTGCAGCCAGAACCACGTGGGTTCTCGAGGCCTAGTAACATGGCAACACAAGGCAGAACACCAAGGTCCGATCCAATCTTGCACACCCAGGGGCTAGAAATGATTGAATTTTAGTGTCGGTAATGGAGCCTTTCATCTTCAGATTAAAAAATCATGACGTGGGGAAAGAATAAAACTGCCTTTTAAGGAAAAAACTGGGTGTTCTACAGGGGTTGCTCGCTGAATTACAAAGGCGATTCAGTTGCATTGAAGTCAAGGCGAGTTCGTCTTTTTTTCTGGAGCCTGGAATCCTTTGCTTCATGCATGGCACATTCTCATTTTTTTAAGCTTCAAACCTCCCAGTGAAAAATATTAAATATTCAAGGTAATAAAATAGATAATATTTCTATACTATAGGTTCGGCCTAGTGCAAGGGAAACCGTCACCTAGGATATCCCTTAAAGTAACCTCTAGGCCAATGCATTGCAGGCAACGCAAGGCACTTCCGTAAGTGATCCAGTTCTGCCTGGAGTCGCTCCCTTTCTGAAACTATCTTCTGTTTCTGGCTCCTCAACTCCTGGAGAGAGAGAGAGAGAGAGAGAGAGAGAGAGAGAGATTCACGTGAAGCACTCATTTCACGGGGTAAGGAAACGTGTGTGTGGAATGCACAAATGTGCTGGAGGCCAACCTTCAGCACTCACTGTCCCTGAGGTTTCGGGTTCTTACAGTACCTGCGCTCGCTCACAGGTACAGGCTCTGGTGCTGTCTCAGCTTCAACCCTGAGATTTGAAAAATTAGCCCTGCCGCTATAAAACTGCTGCTGCTTCGGGAGTGGCCGAGACCTAAGACCCGATCTGAGCCAAGCCCCCATCCCATGGGCGGGAGGAAGCACAGCTGCAGCGCTGAGCCTGGCTGCCGGGGGGTGGGGGGTGGGGGGG